GTAGGGGGCTACGTTTCTTATTTGGCTGGTTTTCCAGGCCCGCAAAACCACTAAAATAAGAAATGTAGGGGGCTACGTTTCTTAATTTGGTAGTTTTCACCTTCTTCTATCCCCTGTCCCTAGGCCCACCCCTAAGCGCCCTAAAACAAGAAATGTAGGGGGCTACGGTTCTTCTTTTAAGGTATCTCCACCCCTCAAAGACACCTAAAATAAGAAATATTAGGGGCTTCGTCTTTATCTGAATTGCGCATTGGGGGTTGGAGGCTCCATAGCCTAATGGAAAAGGCGAGCCTCTCAACATCAAACATACCAACAGTCAGGGGCTCGAACCCCAGAATAAGAAATGAGCTAAGAAATGAAGGGTACCCTACGGCAGGGGCTCTGAAATAACAGAAATGTGAAAATACTGCTCAGCTAAGAAATGAAGGGCACCCTACGCCTGGCAGACCCATTTCTTATCCAGGAGATGCACTGTATATATAGGGGTAATATTGGGATAATGGAAAATAAAATGGAAAATATAGGAATTATAGGGATATTATATAGGGTTTACATAGGGGTTACATATTCTGTGTTCCTAGTTTGTCATTCCACCCACGTCTGGCCCTCCTTACCCGTCTCATGCAGATTGCTGGAAGGGACTTGCATTCTTGTTGCTCTTGCTGCCAGTGTTGCAAACTTTCTGATACTGCCACTGTAGCAGTGGCACTACCATGCATACAACCGCGGAAATTCTGCTGCAATGTCCATCATCCGGTTGCTGTTAAGGGCCTTGAATTAAGTTCCTTGAATTAAGTTCCTATAATAAGGAAGCCTTATCTACTACATACGCATATTCTGGTAGCTTAGCTTAAGTTCTTCAACAGCAACCCAGTCATTTCTTCATTTAAACAACGAAGCTGCCCTGGCCACCTCGTTGTATCAGCTAAAGATGGCGGGCTTGAATGAGACCTGCCGGCGTCAACAGGTGTGTTGCAAGAAGACACTGGCAGCCTACAAAATACAATGATGCCTGATAGCCTTAGATCACTTTGAATTCTTGAACTTGACAGGAGGTACTGCTCGCAAACTTGCTATGATAGTTGCCAATGTGGGAGCTCCTCATAATATGTCCCATCATGAGAAATCTCCCAGTGGACCAAGGAAGATTGGCAGCATTGCTCCACGACCGTGTGTCACAAGTCTTTGAACCTATCCCTGGACCCTAAATAGTAGTTTCTATTTCATTTTCCATTATCCCAATACAGACCACCATAACGCCAATATAACCCCAACATAATCCCTATAGTATGGTATGGCTGCAGCAATCCTATCGCCTCCTGGTACGCACCTAACAAGTGAATTTGTCCGATGCGTCGTGCGTTGCAAGGTGTAGTAGCTTGCTTCTGCCTTTGAAAGGAGTTCTGCCACAACGCCGCGCTGCTGCTGAGTGCAGTGCGTGCTGATTTGCCTCATGTGCCTCAAATGGTGTAGTGTAAACATTCGGATGCAGTACCCTGCCAGGAGCCCCTGACTTTGGAAACAACCACATGGAGTGATCCGCGAAGGACATATAGCGCAACTGTCTTCGTCTGCAGGAACTCATTCTATCATGTGTCTGGGGCTGCCAGATTGCGGCAGCCATACCATGTCTGTTTCAGGCGCCTGCAGTCCTTGCAAGATCACGGTGTCGTAGCTCTCACGCTATGCGACCTTCTTGGGCTAACAAGACATCGTGGAAAGAAAAGCGCAATATGCGGGCCAAATAGATATTTTGCCTTTGCTGCGTCTCTGAGCATGGTTGAAAAAGACATGTCCTTGGAGGCTTCCACGTACTTTTAAGCGGGCCATGCACCGAAGAATGCACACTGAAACCCTACAGGTTCCTGTATCTAGTCCCTTCTCACCCACCCGCTAATGCTAGATGTTCCCCATGAGAGCCTTCTAACTATCTGGAGCGCAATCTAATCCTAGCCGGTGGGTGAGTGTTTCATATTACGGGGTGGGGACGGTAATATGTTCGATGAAGCCCTTTGTGGAACCGTGAGCCTCACCTCTGCTCAGGAAACCTTCGCCCAATAGGTGTAGAGCAGCCTGTCATCGCTGTCCTGCATGCGATGGTGCACCATGTAGAGAGTTCATGCGAGCTGCTATCCTAAACCCTTATCCTCCTGAAAACTCACCAGACAAGCATCTTTATAGCGTAACGTTGTGCCAAATGTGCCACTCAAGCTGCTGGCCTCTAGAGCTGAAGCAGCTTCTGCAATGCTTGCGTGGAGCAGATCTCAAAAGCCTGCGTCCAAACGAGACCTCCTGATCTCCGTAAGAATCAACTTCCCCCACATCCATAATAATTGATTCTAGGATGGCACCAAACTGGGAATGGTATTATCCGGCCATGGGGGGAATTGGATAGGGGAAGTACAACGCTTGGCAAGAGCGTATCCTTGTCTTTGGAATCATAAATCCCAACCTCGGTCCTCGACTGAGAGGCCGAAGCCATAGGGTGCCAACGACTGCGCTGACACCTGGCAAAACAGGCTTTCCACCCAAGCCAAGGTTATGCTTGTTGTTGCCACCTTCCTTCACATATTATGGAGAACCACCTATAGCTTACAGCATGTTTTCCATTTGCGGGGCCGTGCTATGACGGGTGAAGCCACTGTCATAGCTACCATCTGAAATCCTCGCTCAATTCCCTCTTCACACATTAACATGCAGACCGCGTACCATAACGCTGACCAACTGAATATGGAAAGCCACCTATAGCTCACAGCATATTTCCAGTTTGAGGGGCTGTGCTATGACGGGTGACGCCATTGTCATAGCTACCATCTGACATTCCTTCCCGATACATCAACATGCAGCCACGTACTACAACGCTGACCGATTGCTCAAGGGTCGCGTTTTCTAGTTGCGCATGCTTACACAATTTGATGTTGAAGGCTGCAACCTTACAAGGCATCCTGCCTCGAACACCTCGTTCACTGCGTCAAAAAACACTGCATCCTGGCAGGTGTTCTGTCTTTTTTTCAGGACACTTGCTGAAGTTGTTCACAGGCATGCTGGCTGGGACGAGACACATGCCCCAACCTCCCGGCCCTAGCCCTAGCACCCTGATTAAGCTTTTGATGTTGATATTTCCTGGCCGGCAACTACTTCTTGCGACCCCTTGTAGGTGCTCCTAGCGCTCAGAAGAAACCCATACAGTGTATCAAGAAACGAAGCTCTTTTGCACGCCGCTGTTGGGCAGCCGTCAGGTTGGAGCACAAACGGCAAAGGCTCAGCTTGCCAAGTTATATTTACTTGGCATGCTTAGAAAGGGGCATCTGGGCAATCTTCGGCATCCGCTCTGGCCTTAGCTGCCAGGTTCATTCAAAAGAAACGGTATGTTCCACAAATAGAGAGACCTCAATATAGACCCCAATATAGTATGATCCTGATTACGGGGTTGCCCTAATTTGGGGAAACCCTAGACCCTATAAAACCACTCATATACTCCCAGTTTCCATGTAATTCTCTTCGTTCGGGGTGGAACTCCTAAACCCCTTAAGCTAGTAATTCTAGGAATGCACCAAATGCGGATTGCGCAAGGTAAATCTAAGGCCAGGGCGTCCCTGTCGTCCACATCTGCAACTGAGCCAAGGTGCAGATGAGGGCACCGCAAAATCTGGTAGCTACCAGTAGTATACTATACTTTAAAATGCAATAAAATATCTTAAAGTACTATAACATACAGGAAAATACTATTATATATAGATATATATACACACTATAAAAAAACACCATAGTCTACCAGAATATGCTATGACATACTAGAACATGCTAGAATCATGCCGTGGCAGGTCATGCGCCTTGTAGTGCTTGTCGTTCACATGCCCAGAGTTTGCACAGGCAGCAAAGACCTGCGAAGTGAGGCAACTTCAGCTCGGCGTTGAGTGAAGAGCTCTCCATGCTCACTAGCTCATGCAACAAATATTCTAGCATATCATTGTATACTCTGGTGAATTCTTGTATATTATAATCCATGATAGTACCTTGTAGTCGATTAGTGGCCATGAGATCTTTGAAGCTATGACAAGCAACAACCTCAGACTCCGACTTCGCAGAGCGATCCTCCCAAGGAATGGCCAGTGCAGCTCACCTTTCAGATGAGCTCACACAACGTTACAGCCAAGTGTAATAATCATAGTAAGTAATAATAGTAGTGATAGTACTAAAAATAAGACTAGTAAGACTATTAGCAATAAACGTAATACTAATAAAGACAACAAGATTGAGAATAGTAGGGCAGGTCTGGCCACGGGCCTTGTTGCACTTGGCCAGGCTTGGACGCAACTTGGGCATGCTGTACTTCATGAGCCAATACAGCTTATCAGCATATCCAGAATGGACGTCCGGTAGCCCACAATATCCGAAGCTGGGGGATTTCAAGTTCCCGAAGAACTCTGCAAAGGTGTGGGTGCCCTCAAAGGCCAAGACACAGTCCAGGCTCTGCGTATTTTGAACCAGCCAGATGTTGTCAACCGCTTCGAGCGTGTCCTGCTGGGTCTGGGCAACAAGGTTCCAGCCAGGGAGATGGTCACCGATGATCTGCTCCATTGTAACCTCCTTCTGGGTGGCCCAATATTTTTGCTTCTCATAAGCACCCCAAGCCACCCATCCAAACAGGTGGGCAAAGCTGAATGGCTTCTTCTGTGCGGATGCTTGCCCATGCAGGTGCAAGCCTGCAAGGCGGTCCATGTAGTGCTGCATGTTGTGCAGGCCAATGTCAGCAACCCTGCCATGTTCATCTGCATGCTTGGGGAAATCTGGTCGTCCCTTGCCAGGCCAATACCTTGGTTACAAACCAGTTTTAGGGAGTCCCAAGCCCTTTGAAATCCCCATATATTCCTAGGCCGAAACGCGCACATGCGGCATGGCGCTGCTGACACTTGAATCAATAGCCGAGGTGCTCAGAGTCCTTCTTCCAGTGCAAGGCCAGTGTAGGCACCCTGGGGTGCTGAAGTCCCATAAATATTGTGGCGACATCTGTTTGGCGCATTCCAGTGAGGATTGTCTCAGTATAGCACCGGAGCCCTCTGAAGTTTCGGCTCTCCTGTGAACGATCCTCTAACGGCGTTTTGCTGGTTGCCACCGCCCCAAACGTGTACATTGCATACCTGAGACTTCTGCAAGTGCACGGACATCTTGGGACTTGGGAAGACACACACTTCATTGCAATGCTACAGTGCCGACGTCAAGACGTAATTAGTTTTAAGCATCCCAATGCAAGGTCTTAGCAGGGGACCCTTCATGCTGAGGAAAAACGCCCTGTATCTCTAAAGCAATATATCTGAACAACCGTCCTTTAGTCCCGCACCATCTTCAGGAGCACTACCCCACATGGGACGACCAAAATGTAAGAGTCCCAGCCATCTCAGCCAAGAGGCACAAGGCCAGGACCCCCCGTCCGGTTGACCTCAAACTCTCCCGAGCTAGTACTGTTAGTCTTGCTTTCATTGCCACTGCTGTTGTCTACTTTACTCTTGTCAAACTGAAGGAGGACATCACTACGAGCACCAGCACACCTGCTACCAACGAAAGCTGGAAGCGACGACGACTACACTACAGCAACCACACGACCGCACTGCTCCTGCAAATGCCTGTAGTCACATGGACCCCAAGCCCACAAGCAATGTATTTGCCAAGCTCAGGGCTTCGAAGTCGTCCTTCACGGACCGAGTCTGCAGCGCCACAAGACTGCAGCTGCCTGCAAAGCTCCTACTACTCCCGTTGCCATGCTACCACTACCATTCCTCCTCCTTCGCCTCCTGTTACTAGTTTTGATAGTAATACTGCTAAAATAGTGCTCAGGGTTTGGGGTTTGCAGGTGAAGCTCTTTCTTTGCCATTGGCTTCCTCGATGCTCGCTTTGTCGGTCATTCAGAACGGTCCCCCCCTACTCGGCCGCCTTCCATGGTAGGTAGGAGCACATGAAGGGATGTATAATAGGGTTATATAGGGATATGATGTTGTGTTTAAGGGCTAGGGCTTCCAAAAAATAGGCGCCCCTTCTTGGGAGTCCAGATACCAAGGATTATGGTACGTAGGGGTTTAGATTGACCCTCGCATGTCTGGAAACCCCTACATCGTTGTTGTTTTGGTCCACCGAAATGTGCACCTCACTTATGGGGAGGAACAGAGAATAACTCACGGAGGGAATGGAGTTTCAGTGCTGGACAGGTTGTATCGGGATTGAGAAAAAGGGGATGTATTCGAGCCAATGTTGCCCTTTGCAACAAAGATTCGTACAGCACATGGTATAGGAGTCCATAGGCGCAGGCCTCCTGCAGGGTCGCTGCACTCATCGTCGCCATTCAAAAGACTTGAGTCAGACTGCTCTGCAAGCCCCAGCAGCACCTCAGCTCAGGGGCTCTCTAAACAGGCAAGACTGAGAGCAGTTGACAGAGGAGACCAATAAGCAGCAATGAGGCGAGCGGCAACAGTAGCACTTGCACACGAGCAGTGATCACACAGCTTGAGAAAGCCCCAACACTTGCACTGCGCATGACCCTGTCCCCTTTGGACTGCTGACGGCATATACAACAGGACCGAAGCCCAGGTGCAACTTGCGCGGCAAGGACGCTGAACAGCATATTTCTTCTCATAAACCTTAGGTGAGGAATTTGGGATAGGCGGGTTCACAGCTCAAGGCTCGACAGCACCTCATCACTGTGCACGCTGTCTTACTTACTTGCACGAAAACGCAGCGTGAGAGGCGCTATCTGCCGGCAAAAAGAAGATGAAGCACTTGAGGTGACCTTGAAGAGTAAAGGCTTGCTTAGTTTCGGGCCAAACGTTGCGGTGGCGCATGAAGCATGCTAAGCCCAACTCCTGGAAGAACCTCTATCACAGCAGTATTCAGAATTTTGGTATGAAAGCTTGGAAAAGGAGTCTACAACAAAAAGAACCAAACAACTGACGAGGCTGTAGTTATGTGAGCCATTGTCTAAACTCCTACTATCCCCCTTAGTAACCCCTACAGTCCCTTCTATAAACCCTTTTAAGGAGTTTTGGCTATGGCTCATGTGGACTCCCCACTTTGCTTTTCCTACCCCAAAGCGCGTCAACTTCACTGCAGAGCTCTGGAGTCAATAATGGGGATAAATTACTAATTATATGGGTTATATGGGTTTAGGGTGACCCTCCAAGTATGATATGCCTGCACCAACCCATCTCGAAACTCATAGGCCATCAGGCAGCTGCCATCCTGCAACGTCGAAGCCAGGAATGAACAAGAAGACAACCATAATTATGGATTATGTGGGGGTTATATAGGGATCATGGACAACAAAATGAATACTATTATATGATAAAAGGGTATATTGAGGGGTTACAGAAGGTAATGATGACTTTTCAATTTCACTTTTATGCTTTACACTTTTCCGTGTTTGCTTTGGGGAGGGTACTTAACAGTAAGAGAGAGGTGGCGATTGGGGCCATGCTGAGACATAACCCAACGTTGACAGCATCAGGCAACTTGGACAATACGATACGGCAAAGAATTGGAAATGTTCCAACAAGGTCCCGTAGAGGTTCTTGGGGCTAGGAATGATTAAAGATGGACTGCTCAGTATCTACCCCTCAATAGCCACCTCTTCAGGACCTTGTAATACTAGGCTAAACCCTTCCCCCGAAAGAAAAAAAAAGAGCATGCCCTAAACTCCTAAACCCTAAACACCCAACAAAAACCCTAAACCAAGAACATCTAGACCCTGAAATCCTAAACCCATGAAGGGTCAAAGGCGCCTGCCTTGCCAGCCAGATGGCGCATGGTCGCCACCAGGGCAGAAGCGGTTTCGTCATCATGCTGGTAGATGACTTCACCTTTGGCTGGGCTGCTGTTAAGGAACTTAAATTGCATCCTCGCATCATGGGCATATAGAAAACAACATGTTTTCCCTATCATAGTAACTTGGCCTAAGTTCCCTAACAGCAACCCAATTTTTAATTGGTCGCAGCACCAAGTAGAACTTTGGCTTTCTTTCCACACTCACATGCAAAGGCTGAACATCATCCTATTCTATGTGCCAGTAGAGCACGCCACCTTTGGTGATGGAACAGTAGGATTTAGGCTGGCTGATACTTATTCATCATGATGGTGCCCCCAATATTGTAGCCGCAGGGTCGGTGGCGGTACTTTATACCGACGAGGTCATCTGTATATGACAGTGTCCACGGTTTAGGGTTTTGAGTTAGGGCTTGGACGAACCAAGCAAGATTGTGCTCGTTGCATAAGGTTATAAGACACTACTCACAGGAGTGTGGATGACTTCGCCTGTACCGTGGTCATCTATGGGAAGCTCACAAACAGGATAATTAGGTACCAACCCGTAAGACCCAAGTGACAAACAGTAATAGAAGGGTTCCTCTTTCACTATTACATAGGGAACTTTATCCGAAACTCAGATTTTGGGTCCTTGGGCAGTTTGGGGATGAAATGGGCTTGGATTTCCCAAGACAGCCCGTGTGCTCTCGCGAGAACTTGGGCTCAACGTTCGCTTTCTTTTGGTTGATTCATCCTGGCTTTTCACAGAGAGGAGTCACCAAGCATCTGACAGCCAATCACGACGTCACAGCCTTCTGGCCTCAAAGCAACTTGTGGGATCGCATATTGCGAGGTCAAAGGTTGCGAGATGGAGGCTACTGAATGTTCACGGAATGCCGGAAAATGCTGAAGCCCCGGCGCAACCTGAATTGAAGCCTGCACTTGCGCTTGTCAGCATACATGCCAAGTGCGCAGGCCAAGCCAGACACGATTGCTCGCTGCAGTGGCTGGGACGAATATTTCACTACTTCAGCTACGCAGCTATCCCAGACAATCCATGCATAGAGCATGAAGTAGACAGCGGGGCACTTGGCCCATGAATGCCCATGCCACAACATGTGATTCGGATTCCCCACCCCCAAGAAAACTTTAGCCCAAAGCGTCACATACTTTAGGCCCGCCTGCTGGCCCCATCTTAGTTCAGCGACTCTGGTAGCTGCTCCACCTGCCAAAGAAAGAGTAGCAGGTGTAGGTTGTTGTTACAAGGGGTGTTTCCCAAAATTAACGGTGAATCTGGTGGCACTTTTATATTGGGGAATTATGTACGGGGTACATAAAAAAACTACATAGGGGGTTACTTACGCACTATATGGGGACGATGCAGGAAGTACATAGGGTTTATGTAAGGAATGCGTAGGGGTCATTCACTGCCCCTCTCAAAAAAGTTCCCCTCCCCTCCCCACGCCCCAAATCAGCGGCACTTGTAGATGACATTAGTGAGAGGTAGCAAGCCACAACATAACCACAACCATCAAACCCATAAGAAGCAAAACCTTGAACAACACAGTGGCGGTCACAATATGACACTGAACGCGCTGTCAAATTGTGAGTGAAGACGGCGATGAAACAAGCGATCCCAATTATAAATACCACTTGCTAACTTCTGGGCCCATGATGTGAAAGGCAACACTGAGCCCTGTAGGACATGGGCTTTAAGGAATTAACCAGCCCTCTTTTGGATAGACGACTAAGCCAACTCTGAAGCGAAAACCCTGCCTAGTGCACCCACGTTGAGCTGCACATTCCGTTGCAAGAGGGGAAGTCCCTGCGACAGATCGGTGAGTACCTGCGTGCAGCAACTATGACGAAGACAAAATAGATGAGAACAAACATCTAATGTATTCATTGATGATCATTGCTACTGTCACCACCCCATGTCCCTGCTGACTGCACAAATGCTATAGAGCAACAACACACACCGCATATCCATCATAGTAGTAGTGACACAGTAGTGACACTGGCAGCAACACCGGCAGCACTACTGCTGTTGAGAATATTGCTCATAACAAACCTCTTAACGATAATACTTAAACGCTAACCCTAAATAATTGTTTCCATCTTATTTTCCATTATCCCGATAGAACCCCAATAGAACCCATAGCTATGTCTGAAGCTCTGCGGTCACCACTTCTGCTGCACCAAGCGCAGAACAGACCAAGCCAACAAGACCAGTACCAGCCCCTGGCGGCGAGCAAAATGTTACTCATGGAGGTAGTCATTATGGGGTTTTGGGTGTAAGGTTTAGGGAAAAGCAGGTAAATCTAGCTATATGCCTTCACGGCTTGGTCGTGAGAAATACTTGAAAACTGTCCAATTGGAACCCTGGATTAAGCCTTTCAAGCGCGACAGAGTTTCTGGGTCGGGCTTCGGGGAATGCTTCAAGCCAGCATGTCATGGAATAGTGATCGCAGATGCAATAGTAGGAGAACGGAAAGGTTGAGGTGATCAGGCTCGTGGCATGAAGCTTCAACAGGAGTGGCTCCAACATCATGGCACGGCTGATTTGGCTTCCTCCCATCTTGGAATTAGCCTACAAAAACCCTGCTGAGGGAAATGGTTCACCATCTCCGGACAATCCCTGTACTCTACAAGCAGTCCAACTGCTCGCCTAGCTCCACAACACGCTTGCCCCTCACCAGCTCTGGATGCGCCTCAGCGCGGATATGATATTTTCGCCGCCCAACGGACTGTTGAAAGCATGTTTCGAAAGACGAACGCTCAGGTTCCCGCACATAAGTGAGCGCACATGGAATGGGCAGAGGGCCTTGCTGCACTGATGCGGCCCTGTCCTGCACCATGACTCCACAGGGGCAAATGCCCTAGGTTCTCTGAGAGTGCTGCCAAACGATGCAGCCCGTGCAGTCTTCTCCCTGAGCAACACCATCTCCTAAACTGTGCGAACTGGTTTGTGGGTGCTTCACTGGCTTGTTCAATGGCTTCTGCAAAGAGGGCCAATCACAGTGTGATAAAAGCCAAGTGAGGGCTCTCTCAAAATCGGGCGACGCCCTGGGGTTGCTGCCGCAGGCCCTGAATAGCCCTGGCTTTGCCAGGAACCGGACGTCAGTGCCGCCGACCTCCGTCATTGGGCCTCCGTTTCTGAAAGGGGCCATCCCAGACCCCACTCCAACACCAAGCCAATTTTTAAGCCAACCCCCCCGCTACAGAACGGTTTTTGAAGGCGAGGTTTTTGAAAACAAGCTCCCGAGGCCCATCCAAGCCAGGCCAGCAGATCCTCAAAGTTTCAGGGGGTGCCCCAGGACCTCCGATTAGAGAAACGGAGTCCCAATGACGCTGATGATGCTGGCCCCCTCCGCCAGCATCATCAGCATCATTGGGGGCTCCTTTCTCCATTACAGTGTGCGGTGTGAGGTGGGGGAGAGCGCACGCACGCGCGCGCCTCGTCCACCCTCTGGCGCGCTTTTCACATTGCCTGCGTTGCCCACTTCTGGGAGCAGCCCCTTAAACTATGGCTCCGTTGCGTTGGGGCTGCTGCACTTCTGTTCTTCTCCACCTGCCAAGCCGAATGCATCGCAAAGAGGGTTTAGGGCTTAGGGCCTGAGGAATCAGCAAGCAGTGTTTTTGCCCGCTGTAGCTGTATCAAAAATGCAGGCAATGATTCTTCCAGAACTTGATCTTTATAAGCAAACATCATGAGAGCACCTGAGGTCGCACTTGCAGTACTATCAGTCTACTAGAAGTACTACACATGAGCAAAGAAGTCTTACACGTCAGGTTGTTGACATGGATTGATCCCCCTCTGGTGGAGAGGCCTCTTGCTCCACCATGATCGCTTGTGACAAGGCCGGATTGTTGAAAAGCACCATCGGCTCACCTCAAATGTCACAAGGTCTGAAGAGAAAAGGAGGCCGGTCTTCTTTACGTAGACGCCTGTGGACCACCACTAAGAAGACACGCCTTAGAATATGCTGTAGAGTCGGCATGACCATAGATGACTGTTGCAGCTATGGCTTTGTTGATGACCTCTTTCTTCATCACTCCTATTCCTCCTAAATCCAAACTTACGTACTGGCTGTCCTTGCAGCAAATAAGCTTTCTTCGGCTGCAGCACATCCGCAGGTTCAAGCTCTCTTCCCACATGAAGCACGCCCACCTTCCCATTCAATACTCGCTATGGTAGCCAAAACATATTGGGAGACATACCTGTATTTCGCGGTAGCTCAGGCTAGGTGCAGGTTGATTTTTTCAAAAGAAGCGGGACGCGATCTCCAGACTGCACCCAGGCCTCAAACCCTCAACCGAGGGCGCCACTACGAAGTGGGCTGCTGTAAAGGAGCCTGTCCTGAGAGCAGAAGTACAAGTCGGTGCGCCCTGTAGTGCCCAAATTAAGATACCGACGGGGATGGGGGCATGTTTAGCACTGAGCGCACGCGTCAAAACCATGTTGGTACGGGGGCCGTCAAAGTCGTTCCTTCCACAGCCTTCTCTTCAACACTCTCACAACACTTGCGCCATCGTTTCCTTCTTGCCCCTCCACGAGGAATCCTAGCTTTAGGTTTTGCATACTCCTTGTAGCATTACCCCGGAAATAAGATAAACGAACGCCGCATTCGGAATCCGAATTCAGGGGGCGCTTTGTATCTAGCTACACATATGCCTTCAAGCATTCTGACGGAAACCCAAGGCCCCCACCAGCTCCCGCCGCGTCCTTAGCTGGCTGATGTATCAAGGTCTAGGTACGTAAGGGGCTTGTAACTTTTATGGTCCTTTCCAGTCTCTCGTTGCACGGCCCCTAATATCATTACACGCAGTGTAGGTTCATTGCTTTGAGATCTTCACGAAAACAGGGACTTGCATCTCATCTCGAAGTTACCTCTCTTGTTGGATCGCATCTCCGCAGCAGCTCGTCCCTACATGCAAATGCGCACAGGTGTACCTGCGTGTGGTCCTATCAACAATGATACTGACAGAAATAATAACAATAATAGTAATAGGAACAATGGTAGACAATAACAATAACAATAATAATTTGGGGATAATGGAAAAGAAAATGGAAACTACTAGAATATGGTAGTTTCCCAAAACAGGGACCCAATATAGACCCCTAAATACTGTAATCCTCATTATGGGGACCCCCCAAAAATGGCACCCCTAACTTTGGGAAACCCTAAACCCTATATACCCCTCTGTACACCCTTAAAAGGTACACCTAGTCTATAATAGAGCCTTACAATGGTTAAGCCTAGACCCTAAACCCTAAACCCTAGTCTCTAAACCCCTAAACCTTAAACCCTAAACCCCTAAACCCTAAACCCATAAACCCCTAAACCTTGAACCCTAAACCCCTAAACCCTAAACCCTAAACCCCTAAACCTTGAACCCTAAACCCCTAAACCCTAAACCCTAAGGCAAGCTGCAACGGAAACCTCAGCTCTGAGCTCAAGGTCCTCAGCGTTGGCTACAGAATCCTCCAACCTGAGTAATGTTTTTTTTGGTGGTTGAACCTAGGGTTTAGGGTTTAGGGTTTGAACCTATTATATTCCTTATATAAGATACTATACCCCAAAAGGAGGATATAATCTTACTCTATATTGTGTACCATAGAATCCCCAAATAAAATACTACTCACCTGATTTGAAAGACAAATATAGGGATTGGGGTTATATAATATAGGGTTTCTATAGGGTTATGTAGGGGTTCCATAGGGATTATGGGAATATAAAGGGGTTAAATAGGAGTTCTATAGGGGTTCTGTTGGGGGTTATACAGGGGTTATGTTGGGGTTATATAGGGGTTCTATTGGGGTTATATAGGGGTTATATTGGGGCTATATAGGGGTTATATTGAAGCTAGCTTTTCTTCTTCCCGCTGTGAGTCTTACCTGACTATCCGGGAGCTGAACGCACCGAGAAGGGAGACCAGGCGGACCTCACCGCGAACCTGGGATATAGGGATAATGGAAAAGAAAATGGAAAGTTTAGGGTTTATATAAGGGTTTATAGGGTTATATATTAGGGTTATATCGGGACCATGGTAAAGAAAATGGAAACTACGACAATGCGTAGGGTTAAGGGGTCTGTGTAACAGCACTGAGTATTCTTACTGGTTCTTAGCAGGGAATATATGGGGGCTATATAGAGAATAATGGAACAGAAACTGGATACTACTACATTAAACAGTTATACTAGGGTATATACTGGGGTTATAATAGGGAATATGGGAATATATTATATAGGGATTTTGTAGGGATTAGATTCCCTTATTCCCAGCAGGCATTTTGTCAGCTCTTGCAACCGCTGGTCCTCCTCACCTTGCATACAATATCATGTGGAATATTGCTACAGCTGATTACCTCTACTTCCTAGATTAATGGCCAGCCCACCAAAGGAAGCTGGTTCCATTTCATGTTCCATTATTTCAATGCAAACCCTAGATAACCCCAAGGTATGCCCTACTTACACTACAGTAGTTTCCATTCTCCTTTCCATCGTCCCAATATAACCGCAGTGCTTCTGAGCAGCTTTTACCACTCGGTGAACCAGTCTCAGGTTGAGGTCGCGTGCCAGTCTTTGCAGAAGGAGGACCTGGAGGCCACAATCCATACGAGTATAGTCCCTCTTAAGTAGATCGAATGCGGAGGGGTATATGTTGATCTTCTTATTACATAGGTCAATTCCATATTCTATCTACTGAAGGGGGACTATAATTTCTTACAATCACAGCAAACTGCGGCACAACATTCCAAGCCCACATCTGTGTAGATGCATCTAAGAATTGCAGGGAGCTTCCCCAGAAGTGAAGGGCGGAAGCTGAATATCTAAGGGACTTCTGCAACAAAAGCGATGCCTGCGTCGCTGTCGCGAAGGAGATGGAGATAATGACCCTTAGCCACATCTCGTGCGACCCTGACACTTGCGCCCCTTCCATCCACAGTGGCTTGCCAGGGCTCCGAATATTCAGTCCTGAAAGACCAAGGATCTGTCGACCAACAGCACTAAGCTACTTGGAGGTTGATGGGTCGTAGTTGTACACATCTATTTGAGGTGAGTTTGCTCGGAACCTGTTTTGCAGCAGTACACGTGCTACACTGAACTCTGTGAACGTTCACGAAGTATGTTGCAAACTTGAGGCCCGAGTCAGGTACCCATCTGTTCGCAGAAGAGATGCAGCCGCCTTGAGCATCTGCACCTGTGAGGCGGGGAGTAGTTCTAACAGCCGGGGCCATTTAAAATGTTTGAAGCCCAAGTGCCTAGAAGTGATACCAGAGGACTTCCAGTTTTGAGAACGCCCTACATGCCTACATATGTATGGGGTCTTTGCGCGCAAAGCTTGACCGCGGCTAGCCTTCTCTGCCGAGTGGTGCAAGGCATCAACCGTGCCCTGGCATGCTAGCGCAGGCAGCACATATGTAAACCGCAGTTCTCAAGCTAAGGGCTTGGTGTCGATCACCACATTAAATTGTTAGCCGACCACTGGAAGAAACATCCTAAACCTGGATGTGTCCTCTTCAAGGACTCCTGGCATGCAAACTGTCATGGACATGCCCCACACCCACCTTGTCAATGACGAGTGTGGCGATGCCACGAAGTGCTGCCAGAGCCTGAGGAAATCCAAAATTTCACTAGCTAAGAGTTGGTTCTTAGTAGATCCCAGCTATGCGCTTGACCTGGCTGGTTGGAGTGTGCATGACGACGTTGGTCAAGAAGGGCTTCTGCATGCCTAGATGCCAAACAGCCATGTCGCATTCACCCGTGCGCCTAGTCTGGACGGCCGAAATCTTGTGCAAATTTAAGACCTTACTTACATATGGTCTCCATCCACCGTATGGCTCTACAGTCTTGGTGTTATATAGAAGCTGTCAGTTGCGCAGGGCACATGAACATGAAACATACTTTTTCTGGGCTACCACGCACGGCATAAGGTTTTGACCGCTGGACCCTGCAGCCTTCTTGATGCCAAGAACTGAATCATCCTTGAAGTCTCGTTACGTACTGCGCAAAGGTTCCGCTATGAAACAACCGCCCGCCCAAAAAAAAGAACAACCCCAAAGGACGACTCGGTGAACCAGGGACTCTAAGAAACGTGTATGTAAACACGAGGATCACCAAAAGAGCTCTTTGGAAGTACCTGTCTGGGGGCAACCTTGCATCCTCAGTGCATGGTGCTATTGTTTAGGACTGTTGCTCCAACTCAAACCCCCAATACATTGCAATCCTCACAGGGGGTGTTCGAAAGGAACCCATTAGCTTGACAAGCTTGGAGGTGCTTCTGATTCTTATGGGCCCTACTGCGCATGGAGGATATCTTGCACCACCTGAATTACTGAATACCCCAGGAAGTACAATGCAACATTCTTGGGGTCCTAAGTGGTGCAATCTCTCCTTCATCCACCGTACTGTAATAGCCTGAACAGCTGATGTTCCCCAACAATCCTTCCGTAATTGTAGCAGAGTACACCCCAAGGCCCTGCTCAATCTTTTAAGCCCATTCATGGTAGGGCCTGTTCGCTCCGACAGTCGCCCGCCATGCAGCTCACCTGAGCAGCTTTTTGGCAAGGAAGATTTATACCACGACCGAAAGGCGAACACAAGCATACCCTCTATTCAGAATTCTGATGCGCCTACTTGAGCATACTACACACCTGAGATGGAACAAAATAGGAAGGAGCCTTGTCCGTTCTGGCGATGTGAGGGTCTGGAGTCTGGGGATTTCGGGGCTTGCAGGTTCTGGGATTCTGGGTCAAGGGCACCACTTGGGAGTGCTGCAAGGGACATACGGCCATGGGGATTATGCGGGCATTCTGCCGAGGATCTAGCATATGTGTAGATTTTATTGGCACCTCAGAGCTGGCAATATGGTCCGTTGCGTATCACCACCAAATAGCTTGTGCGCCCCCCACGGTGCTCGAATTTTTCTCAAGCACAAAACGGGCCTTTCTCCAAGTCGGGGCACGCTGACGAAACCCGTGGATACTGGGAGACGTACTTGGGCCCAGCATGTACTTCCAGACATTCAAAGACGGAAGCGCAAGGATTGTTTTGAGAAACTCCTCGGTAAGCTCCGGACGTGTGAATTCGCAGCGTGCTGTGCCTCCACTGGTTGCTGAAGCAAAAGCGAATCTCCACTGACTTTGGGAACCTTCTCGAACTTCAACTGTGTATCCCGATGACAGACAGCAGGATATCCAGAACTTCAGGTCCCAGAGGCCTTGTACAAGCCAGCCAGGGGGCGTAAGGCTCAGGGCTTCAACACATTCATTATTGACAGTAGCTCATGTAATCCCTATGAACACCAACAGAATCCCTGTTTCGATTTCATTTTCCATTTGTCCATTTGATTTTCCAATATAGGCGCTGTAACATCTGCAGGCGCAATCTCATCTCTTAGCGTCAGGCTTGAGGGGCTTAGGGCAACAGCCGCTGGCGGCTTCCAAACTTTAAAGCAGACACATGGGTTATACTCACTCAAAATAATGGGCCCTTTCCAAATAAAGTACGGCACCTAATGTTTGGGAATACCAATACCGGACCCTAATTTCGGAAACTAACCGCATCATAATTCACCTGCATGCCTGGGCAATCCCGGCAGAAATCCCCATACAGTCTTACAGCCACATGTTCCTTACTGTATAGATCCTTGCAGAATCCCTTTGGCAAGAGGCAAGGACTTCCCCACTCCAATCCGCACCTTCAAGCTCTCCACAAGCGACTCCGACACATCCTCATGCACAGCGGATGGGAGGAAAAGCTTTACTTCAACCAATACGCACGCAGTTTCCGCAATCAGAAATGTATGATTGGGGGGCACCTGATGTAGTCCCCTATAAGGAAGACTGCAAGATACTGCAAGTGTCCATGTTTTTTTGACGCATGGACTAGGGTCGGTGCCAGCGTTCGTGACCCCTTAACCCCTTTTCCCTAAACCCAAAATGTATGGTCATGTCAGTGCTGAGGACCCATCCACCAAGGTCAGATGAGCCTGGCCACAAGCTAGCCACCACCTCTGAAAAACTGTAAGATGCAAAAGGTGACTCTGCGTGGCCATTCTTGCAACCAATGTTCAGCGGCCGCAGGTAAATCGGGGGGGGCGGGGGCACGCTGTACGCTTTGAGGTCACGGGTCATGGAATGGGACGAGGTGGTTCGCATTGGAAACATCTTGGAACAAAAGCCATGTGCCTTCGCCTGCTTTATCAAGCGAAGCATGCCGCTGAACAAGGGGGCTATTTTGTTGCTTGGCTGGGTGGCTTCTCCGTGATTCGCACTTTCAGGAGAAGGCCCACCCAGCCTCCGGGAAGTCGACAAGAAGCTGCAGACCTCGAGGCGAGCTGTGGAGCTGTAAAGGTACTGCAGTCCCCCTTAAGTCGTCAGAATATGGGGCATATAAGGTTTAGGGTTTAGCGGTTATAGTCCTCTTAAGCAGATAGAATATGGTGTATATAGGGATCTTATTATAATATACCCAAGTCCATATTCTATCTACTTAAGGAGGACTATACCTGTTAAGGGTTACAGAACCGGGCCGAAGGTGCCAGTCACATCCGATTTATCCGCGTGGCAAGTGCCAATCTCAAATTCCATCACCTTGTTCTCATAACAGTGATGTGTGGTGACACTTGGAGGTGAGACAATCTAGAGACTTTAGGAGGGACCCTTACTAGGGACCCTTAATCCCATTACCATATATAACCCTTATATAGTCTTTTTTTAACCCCTATACCCCCAGGTAGTCCCCATATTTACCCCCATAAGCTACAAGGGTCCCTATTACGGGTCCCTCCAAAAGTCCTTAGAGACAAGCCACTAAGAGCATGACATAATTCGAAGGGTGGTCGGGTCCGCCTACTGTACAGCTTGCGAAAAGTGCAAGTGGAAAATGGCTGCCCGGCCCAGGACTTCAAAGATCTGAAGGCGATGGCATGCCGTACCAAGCCAAGGTCGATCTCATGTCAAACAGCACCTGGTTGAATTCTGAGTGGGCCCCTGTCCTGCTTGCTGTGCCCAAAGGCACGAAGAAAGCCTAAAAAATCTCGGGGCTCCATTGGCTCTTAGCACGTGGATTTCAAGCGCGCAGGACGCGGGCCTGGCGTTGTAAATAAGGTGAGACGGCACTATAGGGCGCATGTAGTGGTGAGACCATAATTAAACGCCATCCGCAGGATCGAAATACCTCAGCTCTTGTTGCTTGCATTGCTTGCATGTCAGTAAATGTTCGCAGGCTCACCTGCATCTATTTTGAACCGCCTCCTCATAGCTGACATTAGCTTACCTTGTTGAGTAGCTGCGCTGTAACTGCAGGCCTGTAGCTGCCGCTCACGGCCTACATGCGCAGACTGCTCGACTCAAGCACTTGGCATAGCTTCATACAACAACATGGCCTCCGATAAAGCTCCACGCGGGCCTCTTTCATTCTCAGGCCCAACTCAACACCTGCCTCTGGTCCTTAGGATACCCAGCTTGTGCCTTAAGTCCTACTTGGAGTGTCCTGGGTCAGCCATCAGAAGTGTGACGGGAGATAAGAAGTCCGCAGCTGAATAAAGTACAGTACAACTTGGACCTGCTTCGGTTGGAAAGTCTCCCTTCAACTACCTATGAGCCTCAAAGTAAGAATTCCAACACATTCAAAGCCTCCGGGATGGGTCTATACTTCCAAAAAATGTCGCGCCCAGTACTTTCTATGGACTCCCCCAAACCTGACCCCGATTTTGGGGGCACTTCCGCCCCCCAAACACGTCCAATAAAACCCAATAAATGAACCCTAAACCCTAAACACCCAAAAAACCCAACAAATGAAGCTGCAAGCGGCCTCTGGCCGAGAGTTGACGGCTCTGGCCTGAGAACTCCCCGCCTCAAATGCCGGTCGACTTCTCGAGCCTCTGAGGGGAGTTTGCGGCACCAGTATCTCCAAGATATTGCGGGTTTCCGGTTTAGGGCTTGGAGCTACTCAAAACCCTATAGATTCCTTGAGGAGATGCCCTGGACTCTTGGGGTTCCTAGAGGCCACCGATTTTGAGAAATTACCATATGGCTAGGCTCAGAACTAAAAACCTCTTGTTCCTGTTCAAGGGATAACATCTACTGTCGGGGAGGTGGTGGGCTTTGCGCTCTGATTATGAAATTGGTGATGTCCTGAGAGCTACGAATTTTACCTGCTGTTATCCACCGATAGATCATCTAAGCCAACATACAACAGAGGGCACCGCGCTGTGGGTAGTCGTGAGAGCCCAGATTGTAGCCCAAGTCATTGCTAAGGCTTCACGAGCCCCATCTGAGTGTTCCTCTTCCGTTCCCTGCATCTTGCAATATGGATGCACGAAGTTCTGAGAGAAACAGGATTTGAATTGTGTCGCCATGGGCTGTTCTTGTTGTTCTTTTCTACAAGCTTTCTGCTTGTACACAGGCAGAGGCTGTAATTTCCGTACATGCCCGTGCTTATGCCTCGCCTGTAAGCTTGCCATTAGTGCGTTTGAGATCGTCTGAGACCCATTTCCTGCCTTTGGCTCCTCCCAGCAGGGGTTTGGGGGTTGGTATCATGCTTCATGTGCACCAGCACGAGGACCAGAAGACCATGTGTTCCGGTTCAAAAGCTTGTGCGACCATCTCTGAAATCCTAGGTCACCAAATCTCCGCATATACCACCAACGCAACATAGCTCCGGAACCAGGTATCAGGTCCATAAATGGAACTCACCATTCTGAGAGATTACCATGTTCACTTGGAAGCGTGTATTCCATTAGTCCTTTCCCACCCCCAGAAAGCAAGGGCGGGAGGCTGAGAAAGACGCCTGAGAAGCTTCGGCCAGCTTGCGTGAGGGAGCCTGTGGTGCAGGCGCGCGTCCATATCCAGCTCCTGAGCAAGCGAATGAGCTGATATGCGGGCTTCTCCCGGGGAATATATAATGGGGACTGTGCGAGGATTACGGGGGCCCAGATTTTAGGACTCCAAAAGGGAATAACGACCACGTATTACACTGCAGGAGTGCTGGCAAGTGATAAACACATTGCTATAAGGAATGCCCACCGCATTCAGCATCATGCACCTTCTTCCAAATGCTTCATCTTTATGGACCAGCTGAACGAAACGACACGCCGTGTACTAACATGAGGCCAAGGTTTGCCCAAACTGCTGTTCCAGGCTTGTACAGTGATCTGCACTCTGGTATCTCTGGTGAGCACCTGAACGTCAATACTGTCAATACTGACACCACCAAGGTCAAAGGACCCCTAATTTCTGGAAGCTTGCACATACGGACCCAGACCACACTAATCAAGGAAAATATGACTGACGTGAAATGCCCGACCTGCAGACCGCAGGGCCGTTGACGCCGTTCCCTCGTCTCTTTCTCCATAGGCACCTCCAGCTCAAAAAGGTGGCCATGCTTTCCACGTTTGCTGCAACTATGGCATGTGTTATGGGCAGTCTATGACAAGCTCGAAGATAAAAGTCAAGAATGAAACAGAGGGGTGGTGCAGCCTGGAATCTTTTCAGTTAGTGGTCAGTACCCTCCACCATGATCCGGCTGCTGCTGCAGTTGCGGCTGCGGCTGCGGTGGCTGTTTCGGATAGCTTTTCTGTTTTATGCTTGCCGCAATATGTTTTGTGAAGCCGCAGTATGACTGCCGCACTACCATGCGCAGTGTTCTGGCTATCTCATTTTAATTGAAGTTCCTAAACCCTACATACCCTATATACCCCTAGATACCCCTATGGATACCCGTTATGGTAACTTATTTGAAGTTCCTTAAAGTGACCCTTCACTGGGTAAGCAGAGAAGTCCCGCCTCGCTGTCGTTCGGACCATGCCGGACCTTGGACTAATCCCTTGCCTTCCTCTGGGCTGCTGTTTAAGGAACTGAAATCAAGTTACCATAATGGGTACATATAGGGGTGTATAGGGTATGCAGGGTTTAGCAACTCAAATTAAGTTACCAGATTGGTTATATATAGGGGTATATAGGGTTTAGGGTCTAGGAAATTAGATCAAGTTACCATACTGGGTATATATAGTAATTGATAGGGTTTCCCCAATGTATTAATTTGAATTAAATACCTTAACAGCAGCGCAGTCCTTGGAGGGTGAGGGGGACTTAGTGAGTAGGTTCATAATCCCTACAACCCATATAGTAACCCTAGTTATCCCCATTATTAACCCACTTACTAAGTCCCCCTGACCCTCCAAGTCAATATTCACCACACAATTCCATAAGATTGAACTCTTTGTAGTTCATGGGAGAAGGGGGGATGAAAGGGGGTGCTTTGCATAACGGATCAGCTGTTCTGTGATCTTATGCGAACCAGGGGCCATTTGAGCCATTGTCTAAACTCCTAGTATTCCCCTTAATAACCCCTATAGTACTCTCCTATATAATCCCCTATATAACCCCCTTTAAGGAGTTTAGACTATAGCTTATTTCGCGTTAGACTTCAGTCAGCCAAAGTTCTGCGGTTCAAGCAGCCCCTGGACCCGAGGTGCAAACCCAAACACCAATGTTTGGTCCTCATATTACAACCCAATGTGATCGCTTCAAAGGGAACTGGTGAAGCTAGCCTTTCTGTCACTAAGCTGTGGATACTTTCGCCAATTCGCCGCAGCACTGCCTAGTACACTGCATAGCCCTGCAAGATGCATCCCCAAAAATCACGTGTACATGGTTCAACGATGAAAGCTTCTTGCAATCAGGAGGCGAATCTGAATCGCTGACTCAAACGCTTCCTGCGTCCAAAAGCAGTGACTAGTCTCGCTATGTACACGGCAGCTGCCAATAGATGCTCATAATTTTATGAAGAGCGCTGTCATAGCAAAACACCTGAGATGCAGTCATGATAGCTGGTGACACCGATAGCCGAACATCTTCGAAGCAAAACATGAGCTTCAAAGCAGGTCGCTAGTAATTAGTGATGATGTCTCTGGTGCAAGGCCAAACTCTGATGTACTGGGCGAGCATATTGCTGGCAGACTCCTTGGTAATTGTGAGACACTGGGCAGTTTCCATGTCAGGCCTGTACTTGCCCAGGTTGGTCCTCATCAATTGGAGCTGGAGCCTGTGCTGTACCCCGAAAGGCTTGGGCCGAGCTGCCAAGGATGTTCATTCAGGACATCTATGGAACTTGGAAAGAATTGAATGAAGTGGCTTGTATAAAGGTTTGAGGCGGTTTCTGAGGATCTTGACTACTCCTTGCAACCACTATGCTGTCACCTACTGCTCTCCCAAAACAAAATACACTGGGCCTCAAACTCATCTGCTGGTCAAGAGCTTGACCACGATTCTTATAGTCTGGCACTGACCCTCACATCTGACATGTTTACCTGAATCCTCCGCGGGCCTCTTCTCCTACCCCCCCTGGCTGTTCACACTCTTCCCAATATTTTCTGTTCGTTTGCCACTTCTCCTCCTACACCTCCTCCTGCTAACTACCCCTAGCAGTACCACCGCATCTTCAACTTGCTGCCTGTGACTTGGACATCTCCGGCATCCGGGATGCCCGAAGTTTTGCCTGCAGCGCTTCCTCAGTAAAAGTAAGTACAGAAGGCAGGGACAAAGGTTTGGGGTTTGGGACTGAGCTTAGATTGGATTTACATGTATAATTGTAAGTATACAGGAAGTATACAGGAATAGAGAAGACATGTTATCCCCAGGACCCTGGCGCCCACCACAGTAGCCATGGCATTAAACCCCATACAGAATATCAGCACAACCAGGAATAGGAGCCGATAGAGCGGTCTGGACATCCTCTCACATGAAAGTCATGGTTTAGGAAGTTAACAGAGTTTCCATTTCATTTTCCATTTTCTTTTCCATTTGATTCTCCATTATAGTAGTTTCCATTTCCTTTTCCATTATCCCAATATTACCCCAATATATACTCTATAATCCCCATATAAAACCTTATAACCCCTATAATCCCTGTAGTTTCCATTTTCTTTTCCATTATCCCAATATAACCGCGATTTTTTGCTGGAAGGTCCTACCGAGCCAGCGTGAGCTTTCAGAGTTACCCAGGGAGACCCTGAGCTTAGGATTGGAAACCCACATCTCCATAAGCCACAAAGGGGCATTGACCCTCAAAACGGGGCCCTCAACTTTTGGGCAATCTCCACATCATCCCCATTTAAAGCAACCCTCGTGCGGGGCAGCTTCCAGAGATTTCGAAGCTCGCTGACGCGCATCTTCGAGCTTCACGTCGTTTAGAGCTAATTCGCGGGTGCCGGCTCCCGGCCTGAGCTATAATTAGAAGAAGGTTCGGGGGGGAAGCACTGTAGCTTCACAAGGGTTGAGGATCTGAGCGGGGGCTCCAGACACAATCCAGTAGGTGAGCAAGTTGTTGGAGCCCTGTAGGGAATTTCGTGCTCTCATCAACGTAGCCTCTGGTGTGACAAGGCACAAATGCACCGCCTTTTGAGTCTTCGGGTGCAGTTGTAAAAAGCGTGGATAGAAGGCTTGAAGGCCTGAATCCGCTAGGTCGCAGGTGGTTTCAAAGAGTCTGGTTGGTTTTCCTGCGTGCGCAAGCTCTTGCCGAAAAGCTGCTGCACATGCTTGTCGCGGCACGAGGACTTTGACGCCTGGCCAAGATCAGGGTCTCTGTGCCTGAAGTCCTCTCTGCCTAATAATTTACAAGTTACTGGAACACAGATAAAGCCCCCCAATCCCTATAACGATGAACGTTACCCCAGAAGAGAGGGGACACAAAGGGATACTTTTGAAGGTGCAGCGCTTCATGCCCATGGCGCTCCATGACTTTGCGTGGACTTTTTCGCACATTGCTGGATGTGCCCAAGGTTGCCCAGGCAAATGCTTCACAGGCCAGGTAAGATCTGCGAAGTAAGGACACATTCTTGGGAACTACACACTTTAGACCCCACTGGGTAGGTCTATCTACCCCTTATCCCGTCCACACAGAGCGTGTGCTCACCAGGGACAAAGGCCCAAAAGCACGCAAACACACACAAAGCCATTGAGTAGCCTCATGACGCTTGTGCGAGGAGCCAGTTGCCGAGCTCCGAAACGAATCGCTTCGAGAATAAGTGCTCCTGGAAGGCCTGGCACCACATGAGAAAAAACATGTTACAAGTAAACTCAATAAGACTGTCAGACTACCCATTTGCACTGCTTGCGGGGGACTCCAATACAAAATCCTCCTGCATGCCAACTACGATCACTGAAGCAAATTGAGCGAGGAAGATACGAACCAATAGCTGTTTGCGAGGACTCCTACTTTCAGGGACTGTGGAATGTAGGTTGAGAATCGAGAGATTAAGGCTGAAAGGGGGCGAAGGAATATGTAGCTACAAGTATGCTTTCAAAGACTTGCTGCACCAGTAGTCAATCGCCCGACCCTTTAAGTAGGATGATTGCATGACAACTGGCAGACGAGGTATAGCGACCCCAGTCAATCGACCACATCCGTTTGCAGGTAGAGGGCGCCCACACACGTACACACCTATGAATCAAAGGATCAAATGTCCAGAGCTGCTGGCTGCACCCCATAAAGCTCCATCAAGTCCCCGTTTGAACATCCCGCTCAAAAACCCCGGCTTTTTGTCCCTGCGAAGTCTGTATGGTCCCCAGGTTACACCCAGTACTCCGGGTACCTCCAGTGACCGGCGTCAAGTCCTAATCATTTTCCGCCTAAACCCAAATCATAACAACATGGCGAATGCGAATCCACAAGTGCGGACCCCCAATGCTTGAACCAACAATCCTGAACCCAAAGCCCTGTACCCAAAATCCTGCACTTTGGATACTGTCGCCAGCTTATATTTTGGACCCTTACTAAGAGCATACACTTGCAATATTGGATGTCTGTTCTAGAGTGGGGGGCCGTATTCAGACCCATGCACACTCTAAGCCCTAACCCTGATCAATAACCACGAAATCCTAAACCCCATACCCAAGACAATCCTGATATCACCCCTTTGAATCTGATGCAACAGAATCCTTTGTAGCCCCTTTTCCCCCTCAATCTGAAGCCCCAACCCCCTAAACCCTAAACCCTAAACCCGCCGCCTTGCGCTCGAGCTTGATGCAGAGGCTGTGGACGGAAGACTTGGCCTTTGGCTCTCGGGCTTGGGACTGCTTGCTACTGGGAGGTCCTGAACTATAACCTGGTACATATATCATATGGGGGTTTCCCAACCTTTTGGGGGTCCCTATCATAAGGACCATAATATTTTTGGGGCTATATTTGGGTCCCCGTGTGCTTTGAGGAAGCTACCATATGTAGCCCGCTTACCATTCTCATGACTGCAGTTTTTCTAGATGAGTACCCTTACTAAGTTGACCTTGCACATCCAAGTGATGACAGTTTCCATGACTCGGTGAATACTCCGAAAACAAATCGGGACCCTCCAGGATGTAGCAGGTTGGTATTGGGAAAAGGCTATGTCCTGTCAACCCAATAAGAATCGTGTCAGTAGAAATCCTGGGCCTGAGCGACGCCTGCCAAAGCGGCCTTAAGTATCTACAAGTTCCTCGAGCCTTCTTGGGCACGTGGCAGCAAAACGCTTCTACAGGTTCGCGAGTGAAACTTGCGCTTTGTCGAAATTGCGATAGATGTCTGTGGTCATGAGAGTGCCCTGCCAGGTTTTGATGCTCTGAGAGTTGAGCTTTGCTGCCTCTCCACCAGAGAGTTCAAGTGACTGAAGCTGCATGCTGAAGATTGACAACCAGACATTGCAAACTAAAGTTGCTAAATGCCAGCGAATTGTCTGCACCAGACCTTTGATGCAGGCAAGTGGCTGTGAAGAGCAAGTCTGCGGTCGCCACGCACCAAACTCGTCGCGGTATCTTCCTATGGCTAAATTCGGCTGCATCTGAGGTTCCACATCGGGCAGGCTGTAGCTTCGTGCAGCGTTTGGGTGTGCTTCCATGACTTCCTGGCATTCGCTGGCCCATGGTGCCCATGTTTCGCGAAGAAAAAGAGACTGCGCGATCAAAAGGTGCAGCTTTGTGATCTTGCCGCTCCCACTGCAATGCATGCCGACTTTTTGTTTGAGCTTGTGCAAGCCCTGACGCTGCTGCTAACAAGGGACCCCGGATTCGGAGAATTCCGTCATAAAGGACTTTCCAAAACGACTATCAGTTTCAAAAAGATCCCGATAACCCTAGCTCCCAAATTTCCTTGTTGGTGACTCTGAAAAGCCACCACTCATCCTTGTTGCCAGGAGACCTGCGCTCAGCGTTGAAGCTGTCGAATCCCGCGAGAAGGGACGAGCCTCCCAGGCCTCCCGACAAGACGACATGAGTGTTCATGTACTTCAGCCACATACTTGTAGGAAAAGCACAAGACATTCAAAACAAAGCCTTGAACCGCAAAAGGAATCTGCGAGTATCAACGCTTCTTAGGTTCGGCATGGCAGCTTGAGATTCAGCCTGCTAGGCTTGCAGTCCTCCTCAAGGCAGAGATACAATCCGTTTCAGGGGTCTTACGGACTTCATCATATTAAGCACTTTGCGCTTGTTGGTCCGGTTAACTCTGGGATCACTTCCACACCCCGGGCCCCTGTTGGGCTTTGCATGGCTTTGCCTCGTGGAGATACATCACCAAAGCTTTCTGTCTTTTGTTCTATAGGCTATGGCTGTGCAAGACCCCTCTCTTTCTTTCGTTTTTTATTTCTTCCATTTGGGCGTTGAGACAGGGACTCCCCCACTTGTCTCTGAGTCTCTCTGCGCCGATGTCGCTCGGGCTGGAGTGTTCAGCACAAGAAGTAGAGGATGGATCAAACACTATGGCGAAGATGCGTGAGAAGCGCGTAACTGCAACCTGCAAAGGGAGCACTCAAAATGAAGATCGTATTGAGGGCTTGGAAGGCATGTCGCAAAACAATGATAAGAAGAAACAACATTCGCGTTCCTCTGGCAAAGAGCCTCTGACATGGGCTTCTTCGACCTCATGGGGACCGGATCTTCCGCTTCCTCCTCCTCAGTCTTCGATGAAAGGAATGCCAGAAAGGAAAATCGTGACACAAGCATGAAGAAAGGATTCTGCCCTTGAGGACAAGCTTGTTTGGTATGGAAGACTGCATGGAACGAACTGCCAAGCACTGGCTTTGTTGCGGTCGAGAGACCTCTGAAAGCTCTGCAGCCTGGGGTGCTGAAGCTGTCGGCTAAGGGTTTAAGGTTCAGGGCAAGAAAGTACAATGTGCAACTATGATGTGACTCCTGCGTCCTGCTCGCGCAATTCGCTAGAACAGCTCTTGCCCTGATCCGCATAGCCGTCACATCCGGCAGCATTCAAAACCCCTAACATTGCCGGGCAACTCCAGTCCAAGCAAGCCTGAGTTGATTGCAACAAGAACATGTCCAACAACTTCTCCTTTTGGTTCAGAGCGCTCATGGCTTCTTGAACTTCCAGTAGATTCAGAACAAGGTTGAGGCACTCTTGCAGGCTGTTCGTCCAATGTATCCCGGTTCCATGAAAGAAAACTCAGTGCTGATTCAAGTAGACACTTAGCCCCCAAAATAACCTGAGCGCTCTACGGTGCTGCAGAGGGCCATCGGTTGCTGTGCTACTTCCCTCAGTTCAGTCTCTCAGTTCAGTCGCTGGGGGCCTTCTCAAACGGAGACCCTGGATTAAGGGGAGGAGCAGGTCTCTCTAGGGGCTGTTTTGAGACTTTCCCGCTTCACTTGACTCAAGCTAGGATCCCCGCCATTAGCAATCTCGACCAAGTCCCCACAAACATACCACTCCCGGTTATTCAATGGCCCAATGCTGCTGGATTTCGGCAGACATCGCCGAGCCGGCCGCGCCTTGAAGGGCTCTGCTGTGGGGTTTCTCCGGGAGGGTGTGCGGTCTGTATATGTATCAGTGAAATGCAATCTCTTATTATCTACCTCCTGTGACGGTTGTGTGCTGAGGTTTAGGGCAAGGGCTTGCTCAAGATCGTGGCTCTACTTGGGGTCTTTGCCTTTGAAACCCAGAGAAGACATATGCTTGCAGTAAGGCCAAGAGAGATACACGGTCGAGATTGTTTCTTTGGATCTGGAGATTGCAGCTCGTTATGTATTGCCGCTTGTTATGTGGGCTCCTGGGGTGCCAGCCACTTGCCTTTGGCAAACAGTCTGCAGCACCATGTGCCGCATTGCACTTGCTGTGCCAGAGCGATTGTCTCCCAAGCATGTTCCTTTCAGGCTGAACAACTTTTGTCCCTGGCGTTGATGTACATACCACCCTCAAGTAAGAAGCAGTGTGACACCTTTACAGAACCCACGTAAAAAATTGGGCCACCACTCCATGTTCTAGAAGAAGCGTGGCTCATTTGTGCGCGACCCATGCTGCAGGCCTCTCTCTCGGAGGCCGCAGCACGGACCGAAGGCGACCCGTCGTGCGAGTGTCGGACGACCCCAGCAGCACCTGGAGATCTTTAACCATGGGGTTCCTACGCAAGCCATATGCTGCAGGAGGAAATTGCAGGGACTCTTGGTACGTCATACCCGAAGACCACTTGAAGAAGGGCTCAACATGATTCACCCCTGACCGCTATAAGCAACCCTTTCTCGTTCCAGCCGCGACTCCACTCTCTAATTTTGCTTCTCTCCGTACACCAGCCCACCAAGCACCAAGCTGGGATCGCTTTGTAACCCTCGTAATAGGTGCTTTCTTGGGATTAGGATGTGCAAATAACCCTGCGCTGTGTGAAGTTGCCTCTTAGCACAAAAAAGGGACCTGCGCCATGACCCCCAAAGCCCTTCGGGGATGAGGATGGTTGCGCGCCCATTGGTCGCGGCAACTGCCTCGCACAGAGGTTTGCATGGCCACACCTAGTATCCCCCTTAATAACCCCTATAATATTCCCCATATTACCCCCTTTAAGGAGTTTAGACCAGGGTTCTGGGTTTGGCAGCTAGCCTTCGGAGTTAAAAGGGTGTGGGCTCCCCACCCTACAGTTTGGGATGCAGAAGAAGATTCCAGATGCAACTGCGAACGACAGTCAAAGGTGAGTAAATATTGCCTACATTGAGCTAGGGTCTGGAGTTTGGTACTCAGTGAGGGTCTAGGGCGTACTGCTGCTCGACAGGGACGACGTATTGAAAGTCAAAAAGCTGTGATTCCAGCAGCCAAGCGTCTGCTTCTCTTCGCATATCTGATGGGGCGAAGAGGCGGGATTTGAGCCGAGATCCCGCGCGCGCAACCTCCTTAAGCATTCACACTAGGATGTCTCTGTATAATTTATGTATGTCTATGTGTATATATGTAGACACACTACTATAAGTCTGTGAAATGACTTCATTATTGAGGACTCTCCAAATGCGGCTGCAATCCAAAAATCGCCTCCGCCTTGCATTTCCCTCCCGCCCAATAAACAGAGTCCCTAGCTTCGATATAGAATGGTTATAGGGGGTACCGTTCATTGAACTTAGGGCAAGGGGGATATTTCAGGGGAGGCGAGTAGAAGAAACCTGAGCGTTCCCACCTAACGTGCTTGTGCCACATCCGAGGTCCACAATCTGACCTTGGCAGCGTTGTACTCACATGAGGGTTAGGAGGTGACAGTATTCTGGAGTTTTAAAGTTTTGTTATAATACCCTATTCCCTACCCCAAGAACCCCAATCCCTCGACCAGCTATGTGTATATAAAAAGTACACATCCGCATGACTATGTAGTGCAATTCCCTATGATTCCCTGATTCCCTATGTGCGTGTGCGTGCCCATTAAGGTCTGAGGCAGAAAGGAGTTATAACTTGCCTTTGGTTTCCCCAGCGACCCCTACTCACCTGAATAGCCCTGCAAAGATTGCCCTAGAAAATGTCTCTCAGCACACAGTTCTCCACACTCGAAGTACTAATGTTCTACAGCAGAAGGGAGAGGCCTCACTTCAGAAGGAACCTCATGCCGCCCTACAAGGCCAACTCTTCTGAGTCCTGCTGGGAGCCGACAATTAGTACATCACCAATAGCCTCGATCTCATCCAGAAACTTTCCAACAAGAATGGTTGTTGTAAGTCTGAACTCTGTAGACCCTTAGCTGCAACTGTGTCAAAAGGTCACTGCACACCCACAAGGCCACGACACTGCTCTTGAGCTCGAAAATTCACGAGGAAGGGCCTTTGGTAACAAGCTTGAAGCACTGTAGGGCCTCAGAGAATCCCGTCGCACACCGACCTTAGCACCTCTCGGATATCCTCGTAGGTCAGGTGCCACTCTGTGCCTGCGAAGGCAACAATCCGTGACGAAGACATGCTTTCTTGGCTATTGACCATGCGCATGCACCATCTATACGAAGTAGGGCTGCAGTCAAGCAAGTCCATTTTGCACATCTTGTGTGTGGGCCCTAGCTACGCGAGTCTCTGCGGAGCAACGGTGAGCTTCTCCAGTCACCGCACATAGCCTAGGACGGATCACAAAAACTTGCACACACGTCGGGAACATGTTGGGCCCCTGACGTCGTCGATGATCTGCCTGCACACATAACACGAAAGCTTCAGGACATGCTCTTGATCGGCAAGACGTCCGCATGAGAGGTTGTCCAGGCAGGAGAGATAGCCACACAGGTCCAAGTGTTCCTTTTCTCCATTTTCCATGGCCCCTACAGGTGAGGGAGCCCCAAGATTCCAAGTTAGCCTCTTCCAAACAAGAAGCCAGGAAGGCAGCTGGTTCGGGTATATGCTGTATGCACATGCTTCTGCCAGCCTTCGGGGGCGGATCCAAAGAGGTCGCATACCATGCGGGCATTCGTGGGAATACCAAGAGACCAAACATCACCTGAAAGCACAAGGCGCCTGACTAAACTATACTAAACTCACGTGATTGCCATGCTTTCCAATCATGCTGAGGCAAGCTGCTCCTGGAGCAAAGATGCAATACCACGCGACGTTGTGCGAAGTGCCTACGACTGCCTGCTGAAAGCTGCCATCAGTAAGATATTGATCTCTGATCTCCGGGCCGTGCAACCTGTGAACACCGAGGCCGCTGCGACGTAGACAAATGCACCCAGACCGAGACTCAGAACACAGAACCTGGGTGGATTGTGTGTGCGTGCGTTTGAGCGGGGAGAGGGTTGCTTTGCTAGACAGCCGTATTCTCAGGTCATGCTGGCCCGCCAACACTGGATGTCCTAGCAGAAGCTACAAGGAGCCCCTGGGTCAGGATCAAACAAAGGAATCCCCCCTGCCCAAACCACAGGCAGGCAACAGTGGGGCCAGTAGGGTCATTGGTTCGCTCGGTCAAGGTCTTTGCATTGCTTCTGCTTTCACTTAGGGTCTCAGGCACGATGCTCGACAGACCTTGACATGCTCTTGGTTGGCCTGAGTGATGAGCCTAGTAAAGCATTCTCCCTTTATAGCTGAATTGCAGACAAATCATCTTGATAAGCAGGATCTGACCCTTGCCTGGGGACCCCTGCGGATCTGTGGGATGAAGGAGCCAGTGTGCTCCGGCCACAGCCCCCGTGGAGGCGACGAGGCCGGCGCAGAGTCTGGATAGGAATGGGCTGGTAGGCCTGCACCATGACATCACAAGAGATTTGAAAATTCTGCAGGCCTGGTTAGGAAGATCTGCACTTCTGACTTGTGAAAGGCAAGCAGGCGCTCTCTTGCGATGGCTGTACTAGCCGAGCTCTTGCCAGTATGACCACGGAATTGCCAGCACAACTTTGACCGCGACTAGGCGAATCAATCGCAACCACACATATCCAAGACTGCGTTCATGAACAGCCAATGAATCATGGATAGCAGCTTGCACATGCACTACACATTTTTTCCACCACATACTCCCGAAAGATGTCTGCACGCGCGCCTCATCAGCAGGGCCATCAGGGTGGCGGCTCCTTGCGTGCTCCCGCCTTTGCAAGAACAGTGCTGGCGCATTGAAAAGGGGCAATGGCAGAAAATGCTTTATGCGAAATGGCTTTGCATCCCGTCTCTGATGCCCACACAACCACAAGGCAAACTCAAGTTCCCAACGCCACGAAGCTCTTCACAGCTACAGACGGTCGTAACATATGTGCCTTTGTCTGAGCTCAGGGCCGGTTTCACGAAAGGCCCGGGTGACTTGCTGAGCCTGTAGGGCTCCAGTGCTTGCGACCAGAGATAAAAGGGCAATGCCAAATGACCGGACCATTTGCTGCAAGTCTGCCTGGGGCCTGGACCCCCGGGAAAACATCCCACAAATATCCCAACCCCTACAGTAGATGTAGATCTCAGGTTCCAAAGTCCATGTGGCCTGTGCTGAGTTCCACGTTGAAACCCCGAACCCCACTCCAGGCACATTCACATTCCCACCCGCTTGATTGAGGAGATTCTATTGTGTTTTTGTGGCGAGGCTATAGTGAGTCGGCTACAACTGCCGCTCGTTTATTGAATTTCACCGGGTTGATGTTGAAATGCTGCTCAACACTTCTCAAAAACTAGGGAGTCTCCTTCGTAAGCTGCAATCTCTCTTGAAAAGATCCGCAGAAAGGGAGCTCCTGTCCTTGCTCTCATCAAAATAACTCTGTGCCATACCCAACTTTCCTGACAAGGCACCTCTGGAACTCTGTGCCAAATCAATTACATGTACTCAACTCCCTCTCCCTAACAATGCATCCCCCAACCCTCTGGTAATCAACAATCCCTACCCAGACCCGCCTGGACTCGCAACCGCTGACCTTCAATGACTGCGGCCCGCTTTTGCTCCACCAAAGCATTCCGGTACTTCTCCTGTGACTTATACTTCATAATGTGGGATTAAAGGCTTTCTGCACAAGTTTGGAAACTTTAGCTATGGGGGTGCCAGATGCACATCACTCTCTTGGGGAGCATAGAGATCGTGCAGCGCTTATGATGGGATACATAACACAAGGCTCGGCGCTTCTCAAGATTGTCCCAGGGTACTTTACGTTTGGTGAGTGCATCGGATCCATTGCGCAAGACTTCTTATTTGGGGGCTTCTCAGAGTAGACCTACTGTGTGGACCGCAGGGGGACAAATAGGGATTGCAAGGATATCATAAGTTTGGCTTCGCAGAGCGGGCTCCGAGAAAGTCCTAGCAAAAGATTCACTGAGAAAACCACTAATTTGTCAGAAGCCCACCTGCAATCCAAACGATCTCGGGATGAGGCACTGAAGCCACACTCAATCCCTGGAGCTGTTGGTCCCCGAAAAGGATCGCACCACCAGCGTGAGAAAGCGCCCCCAGACTATTGTCCTAAGCCGTGTTCTTCTTTCCCCTGTTCAGCATGCTGCGAGCTTTCCAACCTGAAAGGCTTATCAGGCATACGCCCTAAGCCTCTTGATGTCCAAGGTTCAAGGCAGGAGCACCTAACATGCCAACTTAGTCTTTGGAAGCTTGCATGCCTGGTAGGTAGAGTACGTTTAAGAACACCTGTGCGACCCCTAATGGGGGGCTTCCCACTTCGGAGATCCAAACTAAATGAGCCATTGTCTAAACTCCTAGTATCCTTAATAACCCCTATAGTAGTCCCCTATATAACCCCCTTTAAGGAGTTTAGACTAATAGCTCAAATGGAACCTGATTAGTAGCTAGAATCCTCATGCCTTGGTTAAGTTCCACGCTCCTACAACTATAATCCCCTCCCCCTAATATTAACCTCCCTAATATTAAATACTCCCAATATTTCAAAATATACCAAATAATTGAAGTATTTGATGTAAGGGGGGGGGGGGGGCGGTTCATATAAGGGGAGGGGATTATACACCCCAAAAAGATTAAGCCAATCATGGTCCCCCTCTTCGTATCCAGAATTCCTACGTAATGCGTACAAGACCTCATAAAGTCCCTTTCTGATCCTTGTATACGGATCCAAATACACGATAGTCCCTGTCAGAAGTACACCCCTCAAGGGCCCCAATTTTTGAACCCCCCTCCCCCATAAACCCTAAACCCTATATCCATAAGGTTCCAAGCCTCTTGGTTGCCAGAGCTTGACCACCTCGCCCTCAAAAGCCGGGCGCAAGCGCCGCGGCCGTAACTAAGCTCGACGCGGTTGGCTTAACTGGGTTGCTGCTAAGGCACTGAAACTCAGTTACCATAATATGGGTATGTAGTAATAATGCGGTACCTTAATATAATAATGTGGTACCTTAATATAGTAGTTGACTTGCAATTCCTTAAGAGCAACCCAGTTGAAATCATGAGCTTGGGGGACAAGGCAGCGCTTACGCCCAAGGAGCTCTTGTTTGCGGATTCTTCCTGCAGTTACATGCTTTCCAGGGTTCTAAAGTGAGTTCTGTTGTGAGTATGAAGGGTTGTACAGCAGTTGTGAAGGAATTTGTGAAGAATGTCAATGGAAATTGGAAATCCGCATCCCTGTGCAGTATGCTCTTGATAGGCACACACTTTGATGAGTAATCTGTTGGGAGCCTAGTTGGGAGAAATATTCAAGCATGCACAACAGAACGTAGTAGTCTCCAATTTCTTTTCCATTATCCCTATATAGCCCCAATATACTAAAGTAGTTTCCATTTTCTTTTCCATTATCCCTATATAGCCCCAATATACTATAGTAGTTTCCATTTTC